TAAGATAGATCATTTTCACCTAAAAGAAGGGCCTCAATGTGTATAGATGGTGAAAGAATATGTTTGTAATAAATAAAACCATGATGAAAATGCTTATATTTATTATTATTATATTGTAATGATGTTGTTTGTACGGTTCTTTAATTTTATTAAAGAGGGCCCCTGAATATCAGTTAACCTACTGGGATAAAATAAATAAATACCCACTCTGACCCAAGACCCCTGTTACGGGCCTAGTGTTAGCGCCAATGTGTGCCCTTGTGCGGACAGGGGATGTGACCCCCTCTGAAGCTGGAAACCTTGTTTTTGCAAAATAAATTGATGCAATTTACTATTAGAGGCCTAATCAATCAATTCCTCATCAACCGATATAACTTTGGAATTGACATAACATAACTAATATCGTACACACCCTTCAGTATGAAATGTGGCTCTCTTTGCAAGAACATCTAACATCTAAGGAAAGAAGAGCTTAGATTGGTACCAGATAAAATAATTTTGTTATCAACATTAATACATTATGCTAATTTTCATCTTTGTAAGCGCATAAGACAGTGCAAATTATTTCTGTGACAGTCTTTTGAAGTGTGTAAATCTCCATTTTATCCCATACATAGTCAAAATATTGGGGGGGGGATGATACAATGGACCATTTCCCCCTTGTCAAATATTGGGGGGATATATCCCCATCCCCCGGGATCTACGCCTATGGCAGTGGCGTAACAGGCAGGGTGCCGGGGGGAGGCAGACTGTCGGTTTTTACCGGGCTGACCAAGCCGTCGTACCGGGCTGGGTAAGAAGAGAAAAGAAAGAGGGGAGAGGCAGGGAACGAGAAAGAAGGGGAAAGAAAAAGGAAAAGAAAAGGAGAAGAGAAAAATAAAGACAAGAATAAAAAGGAAGATATAATGAACAGATATCACAATACCCCGGCCTACAACCCCTTCTCAACTTCAAAAAGTGTCCATATAGCATTTGATCTAAGCCGCCAGGTATTCTCCGCAGTGGCGTAACCACCGGGGACAAAGGGAAAATATCCATCAGTGGAAAATCTTTCCACATTGAATGCCCTTTTCACCCGGGAAAGTTCCTGAAAATCTCAAAATTTTAAATCGCATATTTTGTTGAGGTAGGCCAATTTCCTCTAAAAATTGCACATTTTAGGGAGTTTTGATCAATTCCGACGAAATTAGAATTAAAAAACACAAACATTTTTCGCGCGCTTTGCGTGCATTTTTTCGTGTTAAAGATTGTACTTGCTCTCCTTTGCCTTTCTAAGTTATAACACATACACCCAAACCCAAGAAAAGAAAATTTAAGAGAGATCGTTTTACTTAAAAGAAGGGCCTCAATGTGTAATGATGTTGAAAGAATATGTTTGTAATAAATAAAGCAATAAGGAAAATGCTTAATTCAGTTTAAAAAAAAACGAGTTTCGCCATATATAACATAAGAGCATTTCTTGTTGAGGTAGGCCAATTTCCTCTAAAAATTGCACATTTTAGGGAGTTTTGATCAATTCCGACGAAATTAGAATTTAAAAAGAACAAAATGTTTTTGCGCATTTGTTAGGGTTAAAGCTTGTCCTTGCCCTCCTTTGCCTTCTAAGTTATTTAAAAACATAATAGTCCCAAACTTGAGAAAGAAAATTTAAGATAGATCGTTTTACCTAAAAGAAGGGCCTCAATG